GGAAGTGAAAATTGAAATGGGGGATTTAACCTAAAAATAAATGAACGGCACAAATTAAATCTAAAACAATGAACGGTTGAAATAATTCTCTTATAATTAAAAAAATAATATATTTATATAATATTTATTTCGGTTCGGTATGGGAATACCGAAAAAATGGGGATGCAATACCGAATCCCGTACCAAAAATTTCGGTTTGGTTCGGGATGACATACCGAAAATTTCGGGAATTTTGGTTTGGGATTTTTTGGGTTTGGGATCGGGATTTTTTTGGTTTGGTTTGGGATTTTTGAGATTTTTTTCCAGCCCTACTAAAAACTCATCGTCAGAAAGGACATCTAGGCCAAAGAGATATTTGAAGACTTTTTCGGCCTGGTGAGGAAGCACAGGTCGGGATACCACCTGAAGGCTGAGCGAGGTAGTGGGTTGGAAGTTGGAGATCTCTAGCAGAAGTGTGGCGAAATAGACCTGTAGTCAAAGTTGAAATACCCAAAGAAAACCATTCTGGTTTGGGTCAATTTTGCCAATGGTCGCCTTGCCCAGGCAGCGAAGAAGATTGGCGAGAACGGCTAAGCTGAGCGCCAGATTATGACCACTAGCCAGGGCTTCGGCCACTGGTATATTTTCGACCAAGCACTTGTTTGACTTGGTACAACAAATAAATTTGTTGTACCAGTAAAATAGGAAGGCTTCGTGTTCTCCCTTCTGTAGACTCGCCTCTCCTCAGCCAGCGAAGTGGAGGATGGGGGTGTTGTAGTTGAAAAAGTTCTTGTATAACTTCTGAACCTCTTCTTTCGAAGGCTCTTGACCATCTCGACGGCTCCTTCGTCAAAAAGCACTTTGAGGTAGAGATTCGACGGGCATCCAAAGAGGGCGACATCTATTGGGACGCCAGAATGAGAAGTCACAAGAATAGCTAAAACGTCGAGGATGGTGAGGCTGAGAAGGCCAAACGGAAGGATCATGGTATTGGTGGCCGAGCACCAAAGACTTAACGCTGCCATAAGAAGTTCCTTGTCCATAACCAGCTCCATGGTCGATAGTATAATGGCATCATAAATACCAAAAGCCTTCCATTCTTGACCGAAGAAATTTTCCATTCGAACGACCCAGGCTGCCCAATTGGCGTTGGTCGTAGGCCAAGCTCCTTGGGGTTTTGTTAGGTCCCATTTTGACCAATCGAACCCTTGTAGCAAGGGTGTCAAGCAGTGAGCCTTGAAGAGTGTGGTGATGGACAATGGTACTGCATCCTTTAAGAGTGGCCCCAAGATTTTATGAGTGGTGCTCAGATCACTTTCAAAACGCAGAGTTTTGATGGCGCTCCGATCGATGAAGCCTTTGCATTTGTTGCATTCATCAGCGAGCTCAGAAATAAAGGTGTTGGAGGCCATTGTGGAGAATTTGAAGGATTTTTGGGATGAGAATTTCTGGGTTTTCTGGGGTTATGAAGGTAGAAATGACGAGAGGAGTTTCAAGGTTTCAGAAAGCGTAAAATGCAAATGGAAGGGATTCAGGTATTTATAGGCATTTCGAGAAAAAAGGTTAAGCGTTTGTTTTTCTAAAGCGTTTGATTTTTAAATTTCAGGGCGAAATCGACCGGGAAATCACTAATCACTATGGATATCTAGGGAATCTCTGAGAGAGAATCGAGGTTTTCGTGGTTTGAGGACACACGATTGCGTGTGTAGCGGATTTAATGCATTAATATGGAAGAGACGCTTCGGCTAGCGCATGTTTCTAAGGGTCATGATTAAGGGCTGCCAGGTTAACTAAGGGATTGACACACGGCAAGACGTGCAGGGGAATTCGGATCGTGCGATCATGCTTCATAAATGCGATCGATGGATAAGATACGTAAGGCTTTTCATTATCCCGTAGTTATCTTGTAGGGTTTGCTTCTTCAATGTCAAAAATCAGCTAGGGGATTCTAGGCCGAAGACCTCAGAAGCGAGGGGGCAATGTTTGGGCCCAAAATAATATTATTGGGCCAAGTGTAGGTTTATGTTCGGCCCAAAGCTTTTCCAAATATACTATAAGCTGCCTGATGGTCTTAGGCCGTTCAGTAAAGGTGGTCGAGTCCTATTGCTAGAAGGAGTAGTTTGGATGAGTGGATGGGTCAAAGAAATCCCAATACGATAAGAGGGCCTAGTGCAATATGGATTCTCTGCCGGCAATGAATACAACCTTAAAAATGGGGGGGGGGGGTGAGTTCAAAGTCCTAATAGGAGTATGATTGATCGAGATAAAGTTGGGATAGAATAACAAGTCCTAATCCGAATATGGTTTCAATTTGATCTTAAGAAGGATTTGTTACTATAAATAGAGAGCAGAGTGCATCATTCAAGCCCCTAAAATTCAACACACAATTGCCCTGCACAAACCTCCCAAACATCTTGAGAATTTTTATTTTCTTTTTCTGCCAACACATCTTCAGTTTGGATAAACAGCACTGTGAAGGCAATCGGCGAACATCTTCAATTTGGATAAACAACACTGTTGCTGTAGAATTAGCCGACCGAGGAGCATCTTCAGTTTGGATAAACAGCATTGCGTCAAGGCCGACTAGTTATCTATCCAAGTCTCAGTCGAGAAGGGTTTCCAAATCCTTATTGGCAGAGGTCATCTTATTAGCCTTCTTGGCGAAGTAAGGTGTTACGAGTTACAACATTCGGCACATTGAATGCCGAGTGATTTTATGATTGGATACTTACAAGTGAATTTCAGAGTTCGGCATTCTGACGGTCGAACCACATTTACCATCAAGACATACGTCTCTTTTAAGTACTTGTGTCCATATAGTCTGGTGTCGATTCGACGTGCTTATACTCCCATGAATATAATCATTGTGACCGAATCCGGCGCCGACGATTCGTGAACTTTACAGAACTAGCAGCCTTATCTTCAGGCTCGAGAAGTCAGCAACGCGCTCAACGCAACATCAACAAATTGTACTCCTCTGCCAGGCTCGGTCGACGAGTTGACACGCCTCGGATCAACCGAATGACGTAGTTAGCTCATTAGTTACTCGGCCTGCGCGCCACGTAGGCTTTGTCATTTTTTAGGGTCAACATGTCATTAGTTTATTTTCTAAAATAAAAATGCTATATGTTGATTTCCCACTTTATCCTTTTAGTTGATAATGGGAATTTTTCTGGCTTGTCAAGATTTATACCTTTTTTTAGGGATATTATTAATGGCTATTAACTAAATCACCAATATTATCTATAAACTTTGAATTTTGAAATTTTTTTTTGGTGTCAGGGTTTATACCCCTTTTGCTGGCTCTTTCACATCATAAAATTATTATTTTAATATAAAAGTTGTTGATAAAAATGATGAGTTTGGAGTCTTTGGACTGAGATTAGTGCTATTCGGCATGAGATATATAAATGTGAATTTTAAATTGAAATCAATTTGAAACGTATTCAAGTCAATTTGAAACGTACCAATAACAACTTGAAACGTACCGATGCTAAATTGAAATGTACGCATTTCACCTTGAAACGTTCAATAACAACTTGAAACGTACCAATGCTAAATTGAAACAATCCCATAATAAATATGAATTTTAAATTAAATCAATTTGAAACGTACCAATAACAACTTGAAATGTACCGATGCTAACTTGAAACGTACCCATTTCACCTTGAAACGTTCAATAACAACTTGAAACGTACCGATGCTAAATTGAATGGTACCCATTCTAACTTAAAATGTACCAATATATCAGTTTGAAACATACCAAATTATCCTTTAAAAGAAAATGTATCACTAAATTCTATTTCCCAAATGTACCATGGTATGTGAAAAAGATGGAAAGATGGTAAAAAGTGTGCTAAAACAAAAAAGCATACCCTTTGATATGGATACTCAGATCAAGAGGTGTGCATAAAATGAAATATGAAGGAAATGAATATCGCCAACAAGGGAGAACGAAATAGGGTTTGATCGGCCGATCGAGGAAAGCAATGAAATGAAAAAATTGCTAATGGTTGTAGAAGAAGATAGCACGTTAGTTACTTGTATGGTGTGGAGTTAGGAATAAAATGCACGTTAGAAGCATAGTTAGATCATGTTTGATGTGTTAAGATTTTTAAAACTAATCTACTACATTTTCGGAGATTTGGGATATTAACATGATAATTATTAATTAATTAAAGGTACATCATAATGGCAAATCATGTAATATGGCATTAAAAAGATGTTACTTATAAAATAAGTGGCACCTTAATTGTAGGAAAAATATTTAATCAAATTCTTAAAAGCAACAGATGTTTAATCCAACAAATTAAAAAAAGAAGTGACTATATCAAAACTACCCTTGTGTTTTTTTGGCATGGGTTCGTGTACATTTTTTCATTGTTTTCTTATGTATATATCTCTAATTTCTAAAAATTTAAATTGTATGATTATCCATAATATTTAGTCTTATAATAGATAGAATTAACCCACGTAAAATATGGGATAAAGGAACGAAAGGATAGTTGGAGAATGAAATACCACCAAATGTAGTCTAATCAAAACTTAAAAAGCGATGAATGTTTAATTAAAAAAGATAAAAAAATCTAGAGATAGTAGGCGGTGGAATCAAATTGCCCTTTGTTTTCAAATAGTATAGGCCAATTACTATTACAAAAAATGGACAGCCATACTCAATATTACGAAAAATGGACAGTCATAATTGAATTGAAGAAATACTATTTTTTTCAACTGCCAATTTAATAGATAAATGTCGAACCACCCAATAGTTCAAATCACTAAAGACAAACCCCCGCATGTCGGTAAAAATCTTGTTCTCCAGTTTCGAAAGTGCTGGTAAATCTTGTTCTCTACTTTAGAAAGTGTTGCTGAAAAACATGGCCAGATTGATCAAGGTCCTGCTGATCGTAGACACCTCTACCTCCGGCGTGTGATGGCCGGATCAGGTGTCCATTTCATGCCAACGCCTGTTCTGAATCGAGACCAACAGATGCACAGCTAAAAAACATAGATACAAGGCAGAAAGCAAATAAATTTCTCACTTTCCCCAATCCTTGTTTCGTTAATCAACAGTTCCTCAATAGTACAACAGATTAATTAGTGTAACGATATTCTTAGTAATGAATGAATCCACTACGTTCTTCCAAAATCGGCATGCTTGCGAAAATTAACCTACTTCTGCTCAAGAATATAGTTGGATGAGTAGATGAATACCATATCAATCCAGATTTTATGGATTGTAAATTTGTAATGCCACGAGTTTTCTTCTCGTCGCCAGAATGCAATAGTAAACGATCAAAATTCTGAAGTCATACTTTAGCGTATCACTGGCAAGAAAATAATCAGCACTCTATTCGAGCAGCACCACTCGCTGACGATATGAATTTGGGCTTCCTTACAACTTGCTCCAAGCATTGGACCATGTCTCCAACTCGGAAATCATCGTAATCTTGGATTACCAGTCCACAGTCATTCCCCTTCTTTACCGTGTCCACATCCTGTTTCTCCCGCTTGAGTGATTCGCAGGATCCTTCAAATACGACTTCCCCGCTCCTAAGTAGCCTCAAGATTCCCGATTTGCTCATTAAACCGTCAATCACTCGGCATCCTGCAATCTTCACATCAGGTCCCTTGGTCTTGCTCCTTCCTTTGAGCTCAAAAATACTAAGCACCTCAGCTTCCCCAGCAACCTTGGTTTCACAAGTTCCAGGGGCTTTGTCTACTATAAAATTGCCAATGTCCTCCAGAAGGTGATATATAACACGATGCAGCATTATCTAGGCCATCAAAAACAGAATAACTCGATTTCAAGCTTTGCACGCTAAAGTAAATAAAAGTTCAACACCAATTGTGCACGCCCAAAATTAGAGAGTAGTATCCTAATCCTATAGACTGTTTGACAAAGTGCATCTCTTCTGATCATTTAAAAAGTGAGAGTAACATACTTAAGAAATGGCTTTAATCAGTAAAGGAGTGGTTAGTACCTTTATATTGGCTCGAGTTGCAGCCAAACTGAGGGAAGTGGGCGGAGTCTTTATATTAAATCCAATAATGCAAGCACCACAGGCTTGTGCTATGTCCAAATCAGACTGAGATAAAGGCCCAACACCAACATGCACTACATTCACAAAGACCTGGCAAATAATTGAAGAAATATCAAGAGTGGCCAGATTAGTTAGGACGAAGAGAATCGTATAAAACAATACAAAAACCTCTTTAAATGCACCATTTTGTAAAGGTATTGCCATCCAAAAAGGAGCTTAGAATGTGACATATTTCAGCGAAGGATGATGATGTTTATATTTGTTTTAAAAAAGAACAATGTCAAAAGATGATTACTGCACATAATATTGCATGGAAAACCTACAAAGCAACAAGTAATTATTCGAAAAATATTGTAACTATTATAATCTTGTGGCACACCTGAGGACTATTTAAATTCGTTAATGCATCTGTAACAGCTTGGACAGTGCCCTGCACATCTGCTTTTACTATTACTGGCAATTCCACCCGCTTGGGTTCCTCCTTTGGCTCGTCTCCAGACTCTTCTGCTTTTTTTGCTTTTAATATTTCTTCCTCGTTCCTCTCATCCATCTCAGCTTTAATCTTCCTAAGTCTATCTCTCTCAAATTTCTTTTTCCTCCCTGCACTCAGCATTCTAGCTCGCTCCTCAGATTCCACAACAATGATATCATCTCCTGCCCTTGGAAGTCCCTTCAACCCTTCAATCTCAACTGGCATTGCGGGTCTTGCCTTCTCTGCCAACTTCCCCGCCATGTCCCTAATAGCCCTTATTCTGCCCCACTCGGATCCCACCACCACATACTGCCCGGATTCTAAAGTCCCTGCTTTCACTATTGCTGTAACCGCTGGACCCTTTCCCTTATCAAGCCTTGCCTCCACCACATAAGCTTGAGCAGGCCCATCAACTCGAGATTTGAGATCCATAATCTCAGCTTGGAGAAGCAAAGCCTCCTCCAAGTTATCTAATCCAGTCTTCTTTATCGCTGAAACCTCCACAACCTGCACATCTCCACCCATCTCCTCCAGCAGCAAACCCTCAGAAGCAAGCTGGAGTTTTATTCTTTCCGGGTTAGCAGCCGGTTTATCACATTTATTAATTGCAACCACAATCGGTACATTAGCTGCCTTTGCATGAGCCATGGCTTCAAGAGTTTGAGGCATCACCCCGTCATCAGCAGCTACAACTAGCACAACTATATCTGTGACAGCAGCACCTCTTGCCCGCATCGCACTAAATGCTGCATGACCAGGGGTGTCAAGAAATGTAATTGATGCTCCTGATGTCATACCAACAATGAAAGCACCTAGATGCTGAGTAATTCCTCCAGCTTCCTTGGCAGCCACAGATGTTTGACGTAGAGCATCTAGAAGCGAGGTTTTACCATGGTCGACGTGACCCATGACAGTTACAACTGGTGGCCGAGGTAGAATTTCTGTACCTTCATTGGAGTGCAGCCTCCTAACATTGATCCCAACTTCCTACAAATTAATCCACGACTCATTCAAGTTTTTAAAGTGGCCAGTATGCAGAATATCATAATGAATACATGTCATTCAAGGAAAACAATGCTAAAGAGCAGCAAGTATAAAGTTCTGAGTTAATTACTATATGAAATATAGTGCCCAACTATGGGTAATGTCGCAAGACCTGATTGGAGTGCCATACTGTCAAAGAGGATTGCACCCTTCCCAATAATGATTTTTAGTAAAACATATAACAAGCCATCCGCTTCAAATAACATGCCCTCCCACGCACAACTTCCAAGAAGTGAGAATGGCTTTGGAAGCAAATTTTCTCATTTAAGCATATTTCAGTCTTGGAGAATTTCCAAAAACACTTTTAATATGTTGACTTCAAGTTTATGTATGTGCACAATTTTATATGGTGAGATTCAAAAACTAAAATTTGTTAACCAATAAAATTATATATTAATCAAGAATAACATATTATTTCAGTGGCAATAAGGAAAAATACCATTGCAATCAGCTCCGAAACGTCAATGCTGAGAGGATCAAACTCTGTTTCAACCTTTTCCCCGACATTTGTAAGAATACTTTGCAGAGTTGGTATTGATTCACCAGTACGCTTTGCAAGTTCAACAACTGTCATGCCTTCAAAAATCTCGATCGTCTTATCTGGCATAGGTTTGGTAGTTCTCTGTGGTTTAGGAGGCACATATGGAGCTTCAACAGGAGGGTGGGCCTTATGGTCCCTCTTTTTGAACTTCCCTTTCTTGGGAGTTTTTAAACCAAATGAGTCTTCATTTCCTTTTCTGGCAAACAGTTCTGGGCTTGCATGATAGCATCTAACCACAAAATTTTCAACCACAAAGGTTGAAATTAGAAAATGTACCTCACACACACTGAATTGAGAAGAAATAATTTCTAACAAATGCTTCAAAATTGGATAAGCCCAACCCTTAAGGATTCAATGAACAAGCAACCAAAATAAACAGAAAGGTCAACTCACCGTATCAGGGAATCTTTTGTCAAACCTTCACAACAATCAAGCCTCCTTGACATAAATCTAAAGGGAGGATCTACAATTAAGAAAATGAGCAAGGATGAAGTATAATGTACTACCTTACCAAAATAAAAAATAAATACTGCAGTCTGGAAGTTGTTTTGATTCAATTCAAAACATGCAACTATGATCTGGTAAAATTATGTGGTTAAAGATAATGAAACAACAAGCAATCAAAAGCACAGTTATTACAAAAAAGAGATGTATTCAATATCAGAGATTTATTGAGGTATACTGAATTCCAAAGGTAAACACAAAAACAAAGTGAATAAAGATGAAGGCTCTATTGAGATATGAAGTCCAAATTATCACATAGAAGGTTATTCCTTGTGCAATGTTAGTTTACCTGGTAAGCATCTGCCAGCAGCAGAAACTGATTTTATTACATCCTCAACAGTAGATACAGATGTAAATCCCATTGCATGTCTTTGTAGTCTTGAAGTTAAATCCGTAGTTATACTGGCATGTAACCCCTGCGACAAGAAATTCACACAAAACGTTCTAAATGTCAATGACATACATGATACATATATACACATACAAAAATATAATACCAATTTTTTTTAATGCTTAACCAAGAATGAGTGAAAAGATTATAAGACAATCGAAGGTAGGGGTGAAGCAAAATAGAAAGGGAGCAGGGGCGGCTAGAAGACCAGCATCCCTTAGGAACTACAAGCCATATTAAACAAACAAAACCAATTCAGCCAAAAGAGATAATAGAGGCATTTGTGTGATTTGTGTGTCCGTTACGAGAAAAATGAACACTTGCCTTTTTGCCAAGCTCTCTCCACGCCATTCATAAGTATTCCAGGCCAAAACAACAAAGTATTTCAAAGCTTCAATGTCTGCATAGTTGGACAAACACAACCACAGAAAACAGTGATTAGCTAGAGTGATGCTCTGTTTGGTTGCCAAGAAAGTAACCAAAATTTAACGTTATTAAGAACTATCAAGTACACAAACATGCATTATGCGGTTAAAAACTCGAAACCCAGATTGCCCATCCACCAATTCAACTCAGAATTCACAACAACATATCACAAAGTTTAAAAAGTTTCAGGTTTTTTTTCTGAAGAACAACCGACGAACACGAAAATGAATGGCTTTTTCAAAATCTGAATAAACCCGACAAATAAACACGAACATGAAAGGTAAAATCATTGAATTCCTTCCACATCGAGTGGTGGAATATGAATATCTATGAGCGCACAGAATAAAGTCGAATAAGAAGCAATACAAAGTTGGAGTATGGGAAGCTTTGTGCTTACGGTTTTGCCGGATAACCTGCAGGGTTTGGTTTCTCGGTGGCGAGCTGTTGAAGGCGGTGAACCTTCTTCGTTCACGTTGCCGGTTGCCCCTTTCAGCTAGAGTTCAAAGGCAATGAGAACCTTAAGAAGAGAGAGAGAGAGAGAGAGAGAGAGAGAGAGAGAGGTTGTCAAATAGCCTGGAGGCCCATTTTTCAGCCTGAAATTATTTGGACTAAAGCCGCTATGAGTTGGATTGTGTCTAATCTCAGTAGAGAATTATGACCCGATATAACTTTAGGGCTGATGTCGGGCTTGGACGGCTGCTGGTTGCTATATTGTTTTCTTGGTTCGTCACGCCTTTTTTAAAGCAAGAGACATTCAGTAAGGGCTCGTTTAGAATTGTTTTTAAAATTATTAAAAATGTTTTTGGTTTAATTGAATGGTTTTTTTTTGCAGGAAGCACTTAAAGAGCTTTTCAGGAACCACTTGATTTTTACTGAGAATTGGTTTCAAAAATATTTTCACCAAAAACGATTTCAATCATTTTAAAAACATTTCTAAACAAGCCCTAAATCTCAATTCTATTTAGGTTTTCAAAAGCGGGTCATTTTTCAATTCTAGTCTCAAATTACACTATGAACCAATGTAATGTCATAGTTCAGATTGATTCGATTTAAGTCTCAAATTAAAAGCATAATTAAACCAAATCTAACCTTTTTTTCCGTCAGGGGTAAAGTTTCATTAACAAACAAGCATACATACATAGCATAGAGGCCCAATTACAAATAAAGCACAACATTAAAAGATGGACCCCCAAAGCAAAATACCCAACACAAAAGTTAAGCCCATAACGAACAAACAGAAGCAAAACCCAACCCAAGGGTTGAGTCCATAACAAACACACAGAAACAAAACCCTAGCAACCTTGTCGCCGTTACTACCGCTGATCATTGAGCACCAGAGATCTCGCTAACAAGAACCTCAACATTAACAAGGTAAAAGGCCGCATCAACCTCGAAGACCTGCCAAAACAACCACCACCATTAACCGAACCAATAAACAAGAACCAAGGAAGCACACATGATGACAGATCCCACGAGCAACATCGCCGACAAGGGTGAACATCGAGGAGGACCAACAAGGGTCAACAAAGGTGCTGATGTGAACACGAGCCAAAACTCTACACACCTTCCCATAGATGCGCAACAAATCGAGGTGAGCACCGGTAGTAGTTGAATGGAATTAGGTATGGCCAAAGAGATGATAGAGCCAGATGAATAAAAAGATGGAAGGCAATGCAAATGGGAGGATGGAGGACACATATGATTGGGGATTAGAGCTCAACATGGTGAGATCACAGGGAAGGAGAGAAAAAGAGGGGGAGATCGTGATAGGCAGTGATGGTGAAAATTACAAGCAACTGAAAGAGAAGGGAAGAGGAAAACCCAAAGGAAAACATGGTGTAATGATGAAACTGCCACCGACTCTAACCACAACTAGAGTCGGCGGTGACGCGGATCGACATAACTGAAATCACTCACACGCAATGTAACAACATGTCCTTAATTTTACGATTCTATTTATTTTACAAGAGTGAATTGACAAAAATACCCCTAGTGGTATGATTGTTAACTTTCATTGATCATCTTTTTGTGACGTGTATAAGCTTTTATTTTACTGTATTCTCGAAGTACTTGACGGTACAAACGCATAGGCACAAGCGGAATCGAATTCGAAGTTCTGACGAAGATTTTATGGAACTACAAATCTGAAAAAACTTTTGTAAAAATTACTATTTTATATATTTCTTATAATTATTTTATTATTATACTATTAATTTAATAATATTTAGCGGGATATTTTACATATTTTATAAAAAAATTTGGCCCATGGGGTCCACACCCACATCAAAGTCTCCACTCTCTTCTTGCCACGTCTCTCTTCCCTCACTCTCCCAGATCTCTCTTTCTTTTCCCCCTCTCTTTGTTACTTCCTCTCTCACTTACTATCTTTCTCTGGGATCCACACGCCACCGCCACCGCATTGTTACTACTTTTGCGAGCATGACTGCACCACCGCATCAACCTATGTCGTGAACCCCAAGCCCTGGAACGTGATATCTCTCCTTCCCTCTCTGTACAATGGCGCCGCCATTGTTCAGTATTTTTCTCCGACGAGTTATCGTCGTTCCCAACGAAGGTGAGCCTCGAAACTAACCTAAACCTTCTTGGATCACGTTTTAGTGTACGATTAGAGTAATTTTGAAAATTTATTGTGATGGTTGAATGTAGAACCAACTCAGGGAAAATTTTGCAGATTTTTAGGTTGACCCGAAGCCTTTACAAGCTTTTTCCGACCAACTCCGGACACAACTCAGCCCTACTTAGATAGATTCTTGTTCCTCATACTCTAAACTTCATTTTGGCTTTTGAACCGTAGAAAATGGTTGAGTTTTGAACTTGTTATATACGTTGTAAGTTTCCGGGCTCCCTCCATAAATTCCGACCTTCTTCTTCTTTGGGTCCAACGACCTGCGAGCCCAAATGGGTCAACCCGACCCGATACAAAAAAATGACCTTTGGCCCAAACCTTTGGGGCGTTGTTTCTAGCCCGGCCCAGTTTCGAAATGGGCTCAAAATATTCCTAGAATATTCTTGGAATATTCCCTGTGTTGACTTTTTTGAAATTTTCTCGAAAACCCTCCTAAGCTAATTTTAATGCCTCGAGTCCATTTTTGACATCCATAGTGAATTTCCAAAGTTTTGACATAGTTGACCATCTCGGTGGCTCAATTGACTTTTTACAAAATTTGTCCGAGACCCTTCTCAGCGTAAGTCAATGTTTGATTCCAAATCTGCATTATGTTTTTCCAAATTTAGTCGTTTTAGTTGAGTTTGACTAATGGGCCCCAATATTATGCTTAGGTGCGATTACTATCGAAGACTCCGACCTTCCTAACTCGAACGGATGTGACATCACAAGTACTTGTGAGTGGGTCTTTTCGCTCCGCAATTCCATTTTGTTCCTGGTGTTTTGGGCAAGAAAATCTTTGGGAAATTCCATGAACTGCTAAAAACTTTTGAAATACAATGCTTTTGTATTCACCACCTTCATCACATTGAAGGGCTTTGATTTTTAAATTGAACATATTTTCGACTTTGGTTTTAAATTGCACAAATATTTCAAAAACTTCAGCTTTGTGTTTCATTGGAAAAATCCAAGAATATTGTGAGTAATCATCTCAAACAACACATAATAACGAAAAACTTCATTGGAAATAATTAGAGAACACCAGACATCATAATTTAAAAGTTGCAAAGGAAACTGGGAAACAGACTAGGACATTTTGAAAGGTAACTTAGTACTTTTTCCTAAAGGACACAACTGACAAAAGGTTACATTAAAGGTACCATGAATTGGTACCAATTTATTTGCAATTAAAAATTTTACATTAGACTCGGCAGGATGACCAAGGCGAGCATGCCATTTTTGAACCGACATTCAAATTCCTACAAAGGCTGTGACTGGATTGTGGAGATGTCCACCGCTACCAGAAAATGGGTATAAGGCATTCTCACATCTCCCTCGAAAAAGCATCCTCCGGGTCTTGAGGTCCTTAAACAAGAAAGAAGCGTAGGAAGATTAGTAAATAATAGTCATTATCTAAGGTAAACTTATAAGCAAAGATTATACTAGTGGAAGCTTTAGGACAGTGAAGAATGTCTTGGAAGTCAAATGAGCAAGCATCAGTGCGAATTTTGTTAGAACCATAATGTGAGACTAAAATGCCAGAATCATTACCTACACTACCAACGCCTCATTACCATTATACTCATTCGCTCACCATTAGAAGCACAGCATTCAATATTTCCAGCAGCATTTCTCTGGTTATTATTTGGAAAAGGATTAAATCCTCATTGATAAGTGCTGGCACCACGGTTTGAGGGCGAAGCACCATGCCCAACACCACGAGTGCGTCCTCCCCTTCGGCCTTTTGCAACAGTAAAGGCATTGACAGGGACTGGTTCCACTAAAGAAGCAGCGTGATTCATCATTCTTCTTTCAGTAGTCAACAGTAGCGCGTCAAGAGTCGGATATGTGATGGGTGTATCACGAGCTTGAGCAGCACTAACTGTCATCTCGAAAGCTGGATCAAGATGGTTCAACATAATCTACACTGACTCATCATCACTCACAGGTTCCCCAGCTAGGGCAAGGTTGTCAGCAATCGTATTCATGCGATCCAAGTAATCCACCACAAAGAGATCACCATTTTTGGTCTACAACAATTCATTCCTCATAAACAAAAATATTTTTGGTGAAGAAGATGCATACCTTTGCTCCAGACCTTCCCAGGTCGCTCGAGCAGTTCTCTTGCTGACTACGTCAGATAAGACTGAAGCAATGAGAGAAACATTGATCCAACTAAGGATCATTTGATCCTGCTGTATCCAAGAGGTATAGGCAAGATTGACAGTTGCAACACCAAGCATGTTCTTTTGGTGGTGGTTAGGGGGGGGGCACACCAGAGTGCCATCAATATATCCCATTAAATCTCAACTCTTGAGAATGGGAAGTATTTGGGCCAACCACAGTAGGTAGTTGGTTCTGTCTAACTTAATGTTCACCACAATGGTCATAGAGGAAAATGGATAGGTAGGATTGTTTGGGGGGACAGGGATGGAAGTTGAGAAGTAACACCGTTGTTTTCAGCCATTGGAAATGAGAAATAAAAAATAAAAAAAATAAAAAAATACAAGGATCGTGGTTGTTAAACAATAGGGCTCAATACCATGTAAAACTTAAAGACACAAGTAGTTTCACTTCAATTGCATACCCATTCAATCGTGGGATGCATATATTTATAATCACTTTCAGATTACAAACAGGGTTTGAAAACCCTACTTACAAGGAAGTTTAAAATTCAAAAAAATACAAAACTGAAACCTACAAAGATTACACGCAACTTTAGTTACAAGAATAATTCAAAATGAAGTCCTACAAGCAATGGGATAAGACTCCTAAGCATAGCACAACTCCTCAAGAAACGTTGGTGGTAACCAACTGTTGACTTCGTCTAACAGTAGTTAACTTATTAATTACTCGGCTTGCACACCACGTCGACTTGGTAGTTTTTAAGGTCAACATTTTTGGCACGCCCAGTGGGACCCAGTGTTAA